GTGTTGTGTCACTGTTGGGTGTCACCCTGATTCTTAGGATTTTCTAAAGCCTTCTGAGTTTACATTCTTGTAGAGAACTTTCTCACACAGCGTTCTGTAAACAATCTGTTGCTTTGTGTTCCTTCATAGAGGCAGAGGAATTTGATGGACTGGTAAACTTACGTTCCTTCATAGAGGTGGAGGAATTTGATGAATTTGTCCAATATCATTGGAGAGGTGGCAAATTCACCCTCCAATCCACTGTCAGCTTTGGAAAATTATAAATGTTGGAGTCAGAAATAAAACTTTCTCTTTGTTACCTTTGCAATAGCAGCAGCTCGTGTTGTGCTTTCGCGTGTCCTGTAGTGACAATTGGACGTGAAGTGAGTACACAGAAGCTTGGTGAGTTTAAGAGAGAAAAAGAGCTAATTTTATTTCGGATGTGAGCTACAGAATTCTATATAGAATATAGAATTTTATATATAGAATATATAGAATATTTAGAATTATATATTCTATTATACATATATATATATAATTCCAAAAGTGACAGTGGATTGGAGGATGGAATTGCCACCTCTCCACCTACACTGGTCAAACCAACAGCCCATCAATTCTCTCCTCTCACAAAGAAGAATGCAAAACAATTATTGTTTACGTGAACAGTGTGTGAGAACTCCAGCAGAAATATGTAAACAGATCAAAAGATTAAAGAAGGGAAAGTCTTTGGGAGCGGTGTTTTGTCACTGTTGGACACAAAATGAGTACACAGAAACTTGGTGAGTTTAAGAGAGAAAAATAGCCAATTTTATTTCTGATGTGAATTATAGAATTTTATCTAGAATATAGAATTCTATCTAGAATATATAGAATTCTATCTAGAATATAGAATTCTATATATTCTATATAGAATTCTAAAAGTGACAGTGGATTGCAGGATGGAATTGCCACCTCTCCACCTACACTGGTCAAACCAACAGCCCATCAATTCTCTCCTCCCACAAAGAAGAATGCAAAACAATTATTGTTTACGTGAACAGTGTGTGAGAACTCCAGTAGAAATAGGTAAATGTTAGCAGAAAGTTAAAGAAGTTTTATAAGAACTTTAAAACTTTCAGAAGAACTGTAAAAGACAACTTAACATTTTCAAAAATCAGGGCAATGGTGTTGCTCTCTGGGTTGTCCTAAAAGGGTTTGGGGGTTGGATGTTGGTGGTGTTTGTTTGTGGGTGTCTTCCAGCCCGGGGTGTTCTGTGGGCAAAAATCAACAGCAAAACAAAGCACTAATGAATTGGAATGGAAATGTAAGTGAATGAAATGTAAAAAAATGTCTTTAAAACCTCTTGTGGTTCTGTCCAGAGAGGCTGTGGCTGTCCCATCCCTGGAAGTGTCCAAGGCCAGGCTGGACAGGGGTTGGAACATCCTGGGATAGTGGAAGGTGTCTGGGTGAAGGGACTGGGGGATCTTTAAGGTTCCTTCCCACCCAAATCATTCCATGATTGTCTGATAAAATACAAAGCCCAGCCTGGCTGTGAGTAAGAACAGTTTAACCCTGAATTCCAGGGAATTGACCTTTTTGATCCAATACTCTTGTGAGATCTGGGACAGCATCTCAAATCAATCAGATCTGGGTGAAAGCTGCTTTCACATCCTCTGAAGGAGAGCAACTCCTGAAGATGATCCTCATGTGCTCCCCACACCTGAGGAACGTGCCAAAATTGGCACGAAAAAGTTACTGGAGGGAGGATTATTCCTACAAATCTCCTTAAATCACCACCAGCTCTCGATTCCTTGTCATTTTAACAATGATTTTAGCGAAGCCAATTCCTTCTGCTTCCCTCATTGCAGTGCCCTGCGGGGGGAACCTGACAGAGAGGAAAGGAACCATCCTGTCCCCAGGCTTCCCTGAGCCCTACCTGAACAGCCTCAACTGCGTGTGGAAGATCACAGTGCCCGAGGGAGCAGGGATCCAGGTACAGCCAGCACAGAGGAGGACACTCAGGGTCTGCTGCTCTATATAGAATATAGAATTCTCTATACAATATCTAGAATTCTTTATAGAATATATAGAATCTATATAGAATATATCGAATTCTAAAAGTGACAGTGGATTGGAGGGTGAAATTGCCACCTCTCCAACCACACTGCTCAAACTAATAGCCCATCAATTCTCTCTTCTCACAAAAGAATGTGAAACAATCATTATTTACGTGAACAGTGAGTGGGGAACCATGTGTTGGGAAGTCGTGTTGGGAAGTCGCTGCTCCTCATAGGACAAGGGTGGATTGATGTGGAAATCTCTGGAATCAGGCGTTCATTTACAGCCAGGATTAAGCAGGGATTTGTTGGTGATGTTTGTGACCAGGCAAGGGCTGGAGCTGTGCCAGGGGAGGCTCAGGGTGGATTTAGGGAAAGGTTCTTCCCCCAGAGGTGCTGGCACTGCCCAGGCTCCCCAAGGAATGGGCACGGCCCCGAGGCTGCCGGAGCTCCAGGAGCGTTGTCCGGGAGGCACAGGGTGGGATTTGGGCAAGAGCAGGTCCCTCAGTGTGACCCTTACCTGGCACAAAAACGGGGGAATTTCAGTTAAATATTGGGAAGTTTCAATTATGGTTATCCAGGAAGGCTGTGGATGCTCCGACCCTGGAAGTGTCCAAAACTTGGCTGAACAGGGCAAGGAGCAGCCTGGGATAGTGGGAGGTGTCCCTGCCCACAGCAGAGATTTTGGGACAAGATGAGCTTTAGAATCCATCCCAAGCCCTTAAAATTCTTTGATCCCACGTTTTTGGGGTCCCCACCAGTGCTGAGGTCTCCAGTTCCAATCTGCTGTCACCTGGTCACGACCCATCAGCTTCCATGGGACTTCCAGGGGAAAATAAATCCCTTGGAGAAAGGTTTTGCCCCCCAGGAGCTGAAACATCTGCAGGGAGAGGTCTCAGGGCAGCCCCAGGGAGGAGAAATGACCCCAGAGCTGGAGCTGGATCCATCCTGGCTCCACTTCCTTCGCGTTCTCCATTATTAGCTCTTAATTCCAGCATCGCTTTACCCCCTTTTTGCACAACAATTAAAGGTTAAACAACTGTAAATCAGGGAAGGAGGTGAAATTGAAGCTTTCTTGGTAGCAGCACTCAGGAGCAGGGTTTTATGTAATCAGGGTAGGAGCTGGCACTTCTGCCATGAATTATTCATTCCCGGAGCAAACCTTCCTGAGTGAATTAATTTATACACGTGGCAGTAAATAGATGCAGATCCCTTGTGAATCCACATGTCAGACTAGAATTAGGACCTTAAAAATGTTTATTCCGTTAAGCTGGAGGAGTGGGGGAGAGAGGAGAATAAATAATTTAGGCGGTGTAAGAGCAAACAAAACGCTCATTCTCACTCCGCTTCCAATAATGTAAATCACAATAGGGGTGTAATGAGGCAGGAAAAAAGGGAAAAAAGGGTCAGTGGGAGCAGTGATGGCTCCGTGGGGGTCACTGCGATTCCTGCTGGGTGAACTCCACTCACTTTCTGCTAAAACAATACTTAGGAGGAACTTTACAGCCGGTTTTACTACCCGGAGCAAATCAAGGAGGAAATGGGTTTAAATGGCTGAAGTGGGGGGGATTGATTTTTTTTTTTTTCTAATTTACTTATTATTTTTATTTTCAAACGGAGGGTTTTGATTTGATGTTCAGCAAAGCAGAGGTAAGTGGAGAATTGGGGTGGATGAGGAAATCAGGGAATAAGATTTAGGGAGAAAGGGAGAGGGTTCACACATGGGTAGTCAAAGTTTAAGGGCAATGAATTCTCCCCACTACTCATTTTTCCCAATTTTCCAGCACTCTCCTTGTGTGGAGCCAAGCTGTACAACTCATTTATGCTCCTGATTTATCTTTAAGATTCCTTTGACATTTGGGGTTTTTTTTGGGGTTTTTTTTTGTTTTTTTTTTTTTCTTTTGCCTGACATTTTAATTTGAGATACCCAATGTTGGAAGATCTCATCCAGACCTTCCAGATTAAATCTGGATTTTCCCCAAATTGGAGACTTTTGCTCAGATTTTCTGCCTCACTCTCACCCCATTCACCAAACTTGGGTTTTGAATGGGACACTGAAGGCTTTGATTTTAGCATTTAGGATTTAGGCAAAATCCCTGTTAATGGTGATCCTGGCAACCAAAGCTGTGCAATTCCATGGAGATCCTCACTCAAGCTGCTTTTCGGTATAAATGCAGATTTCTCAGCTTTGCTTTTTGGTATAAATGCAGATTTCTCAGCTCTTCTTTTCTGTATAAATACAGATTTCTCAGCTTGGATGTTTCTCATCCAAGGATTTGTGTTGATGTTCCAACTAATGGAGTCAAGAGACTTCCTAAGGCCTCGAAACCTTCTGGGGCATGGCAGGAAAAGGTGAAATCCAAAAATGCAGCTCGACTGATTCCACAAAAAGCTGAGGAACAAGGCAGGAACTTGATGGGATTTTTAAAATCCTGTTGTTTAATGTGAGGCGTTTTTTGGGTTTATTTTATCTCCGGCTTGCTGCTGGTTGCTCTCATTTGAAAGGGCTCAGAGTCTTCAGGGATTTCTCCAAACAGGGGGAAAAAAAGGCTGGGATTCTCAGCAGCTGGAAATGAGCTGGGCAGTTCCAAGAGCTCGGGAGCAGCAGCAGAAAACAGCATTTCTCTCTGGAAGTTTGGGGGGAAAATAGCTGGAAAATCTCAGTGGGAATGGCCAAAGGCAGAAGTCTCCAAGTTTTGCCCGTGCTGAACCCCCAGAGTGTGTAAACTCAATCAGTGACCCTTTAATTGCCATTAATTTGATTTATTCCCATTATCTGAGGAATTGTGCTGTTAATTTTTTTCTTTGTTTTGCTTCTCTCTGCAGATCCAGGTGATCAGCTTTGTCACGGAGCAGAACTGGGATTCCCTGGAAGTGTTTGATGGAGGAGACAACACAGCCACCATGCTGGGGAGCTTCTCTGGTACGTGGCACTCGAGCCCATCAGTTCCTGCCTCGTTTTATTCACCTCACAAAATTAAATTTAACCGCATCAAAAGCTAGGAATAGATTTAAAGGGAGTTATATGCTCTGCTGGATTGGGAATTTCAACTCCATCAGCCCATGGGAGGGGTTGAGAGGGAGCTTTAAACACAAAAGCAATGGGGTTTTATTCCTGGAAATGGGAATTCCCTCAGCTCTGCTGGGATGTGAGGCCACCACACCTGGCAGGGTGCCCTGACCTGCCTGATGTGCCCGGGGATGGGAGAAGGGCTACAAAACAAACTTTATTTTTCCTTGGACCAGAGGAACTGTGGCTTTTAGCAGAACAGGGAGGAGCCAGGGTCCGGGGGCTTTGAGAGGCTTTCAAATGCAGAACAATGGCCCTAAAAAAAACTCGTTTATTTTTCAAATGGGCCCAAAGTGCCCTGAGCTTGGCAGGAGAAGGGTCTGGGATGGAACTGCCTCGTCCTGCTGCTGCAGCACCTTCCAGGAAATGCAGGAATCCCGAATTCCCTGTCCAGATGCTGCAGCGACTTCAGGGAATGCAGGAATCCCAAATTCCTCGTCCTGCTGCTGCAGCACCTTCCAGGAAATGCAGGAATCCCGAATTCCCTGTCCTGCTCCTGCAGCAGCCTCCAGGGAATGAAGGAATCCCGAATTCCTTGTCCTGCTCCTGCAGCAGCTTCCAGGGAATGAAGGAATCCTGAATTCCTTGTCCTGCTGCAGCAGCTTCCAGGGAGTGAAGGAATCCCAAATTCCTTGTCCAGATGCTGCAGTGACTTCAGGGAATGAAGGAATCCCAAATTCCTTGTCCAGATGCTGCAGTGACTTCAGGGAATGAAGGAATCCCAAATTCCTTGTCCTGCTGCTGCAGCAGCTCCAGGGAATGCAGGAATCCCAAATTCCTTGTCCAGATGCTGCAGCAGCTTCCAGGGAATGCAGGAATCCCGAATTTTCCCGGACCTCTGCTCCACCCACACCGTTTCCCATCCCTTGGTGCTCCAGAGGCTGCAATCCAGGAGCAGCCACTGGAAAGGCCCTGGGTATTTCTCAATTGGCCTCATTAGAAAGAGCCTGATCAAAACCAAGAGGAGCTCGTTAAGTTGAAAGGACTTTGTGTTGTCCGCCTCTCCTGCCGCAAATCTCCGAGGACGTGCGGAGGAGGAGGAGGAGGAGGAGGAGGAGAGGGATCCTCTCCACTGCCTTTGTGCACCTCTTGTTTTGCCAGGAACCACAGTGCCTGCGCTGCTCAACAGCACTTCAAACCAGCTCTATCTGCATTTCTATTCCGACATCAGCGTCTCCGCTGCCGGCTTTCACCTGGAATACAAAAGTAAGAGCAGCTCCAGCCTTGATCCCGCAGCTCCTGCGGGGCTGGAGGAGTGGGAGAAGTGGGAGAAGGAGCTGCTGTGGCTCCCTGCTCGCAGGGAGAGAGTGATAAAAAGAGAAAAGCTGGAGCAGAGGGGTGGGGTGATGCTCACTGTGCTCTTGGTGGCACTTTTTTGTGTCTGTGTGCTGGCACAAAGGGATAAAAATCCTTGGGTGCAGGGCTGGGTTTGGGAAGTGCTGCTTGCCAGGAGCTGGCAGAGGCTTCAGCTCTTGGCATTCCCGGCTGGAAGCAGCAGGCAGGCCTGGGCACATCCTCATCCCAAAAATCCTGGCTGGAAAGGTCCTCAGAGGTCATTCCATGGGAGATGCTGAGGAAAGCACCCATGCCACACTTAATTATTACTGATATCAAACACTCAGAGCTGGGAATTCATCCTGTAGGATTGAAAACTCTTTTCCATGGACAGAGATCACAGACAGTGTCTCTGGGGGCTCTGTACAGAGCCCCCAGAGACACTGTCTGTGATCTCTGTCCATGGGTTCCTGACCCCTGGCAGGGTCCCAGACCTTCCAGGGCAGCCAGAGGGAAGCTCTGGATTTCCACATCTCCCCCTCTTTTTTAAAACCAAGAACTCTTCTGCCCTGGCACAGCTGGGACTGTGCTTTGGAGCCAGCCAGCACTAAACCCTCCAGGATTTGCTGCCTTTACTCACTTGAAACCTTGTCCATTCTTGAATCCAGCAGGATTACAGGCACCACAGGATTGGGAGAGAAAAAATGTGCCCAGCCTGTGCTCTGGGAGCTGCAGGAATCCTCTTGCTGTGACTCTCTTTCTTCTTCACCTCTATTCTGATCAATAAATCATTTGAGCACCCTCCTGCAGAAATCACGGCCAGGTTTTTCATGAGCCTGGGGATTATCAGCCCTGTCTGTTCCTTTGGCTGAGGAAATTAATAGGTGTTGATTTTCAGGGCAGCTGGAAATAATGTGATTTCTGCTCTGTTTGTACAACTGGAATCTCCCAGCCCTGAGCCCTGGGTTTTTTCCGTGTTCCATTTGGGAGGAAGCTGGGAGAGATGAGCTGAATCAGGGGAGGAAAACTCAGGTTTCTCCCTCACTGTGTTACTCAGGCTGAGCTCTTAGCTCTGCATGCTCCAAAGCCGGGAACAATTTGGGACTGAGTGAAAGCCACTGATGTGAAGGAGAAGTTATTTAAAGCCATTTTCTCTCCTGCCTCTCTGAAGGTCAAGCAGCACATCCAGGAGCGGGGAGGGAAGCGTGACTGGGCTTGAGGAGGAGCTCAGCCCCTCCTCGCTCCTTTCCTCTTTGATTTCCCCCTGCCTGGGGCTCGGTGGGGCTGGAGCAGAGCAGGAGCCCCCGCAGGGATGCAGGAGGATATCGAGGAGTGGCAGCTGCCAGCACGGGGAGGGAGAGAGGGAGGGAGGTGCTGGGAGCGGCTGAGAGGAGCTGCAGGATTCCTTTATCTCCCTGGGCTGGGAGAGGGGAGAGGGAAGGGAAGGGGAAAGGGGAAGGAAAAAGGGGAAGGAAAAAGGGGAAAGGAAAAAGGGGAAAGGAATGGAAGAAGGGGAAGGAAAGGGAAAACGGGGAAGGAAAGGGGAAAGGAAAGGGAAAAGGGGAAAGGAATGGAAGAAGGGGAAGGAAAGGGGAAATGGGAAAGGAAAGGGAAGGGAAAAGGGGAAAGGGGAAGGAAAAAGGGGAAGGAAAAAGGGGAAAGGAATGGAAGAAGGGGAAGGAAAGGGAAGGGAAAAGGGGAAAGGAATGGAAGAAGGGGAAGGAAAGAGGAAATGGGGAAGGAAAGGGGAAAGGAAAGGGAAAAGGGGAAAGGGGAAGGAAAAAGGGGAAAGGAAAGGGAAAAGGGGAAAGGGAG